CTTGAAAAGTTATCTAAGAAAAACATTTTTCATTTTGTAACTTCGAGGGCCCGTAACTTGGTTACGAAGACTTTTAGGAAAAAAAGTTATATGAAGTACTGGTGATATTTTGACCCCATCTATACATTCCCGAGAGGAAAAGAGGAAGTCCAGGGACACCCTGTATATGTTTCAATAACATTTATCGTCAATAAATTACTTTTCAACAAACCATGATGTTATTTTGTTCAAATCTTGCTCTACTATTCTCTTAACTTCATCCCATGAATCTGCTGTGTATAAAATGACCGTGTCATCAGCAAATGAAACATTGTGAGGAAGTGAAGAAAATAATTATGGAGAATCGTCGTTTCACTATTATAGAAGTTGTTGAAGGATGTCGGCATATTGGTTGATGCGTTGCCAATCCATGATCGGGGGCAAGTAGTTTTGATCTCGATGATGTTGATCTCGGTTAAACTGTTTCCATTCAATCTTAAAGCCACTTGGAGATGTTCCAATCCTTCTTGTAAGTGTTCCAGTTCACATATTCTAAGAGCACGTTCCGTCAGGGTGTTGATATTTCCCCGGTTTTGACTTGGATGGTGTTTCGAAGCTGCAAACAGATATCTGTCCATATGTGTCGGTTTTCGGTAAACTCTGTGTGTTAGTCGTGTGCTACACTTTTCGACGAGTACAAATAGAAAAACTATCCGGTGTTCCTGTTCAGTCTCAATGGTGAACTTAATGCTAGGGTATTGAGCATTTATATGGTCTAGAGGTTCAGTCTGCCCCTCCCATGTCTCCAAGTAACGAAGGTGTCATCCACGTATCGTAGCCAAATGGTTGGCTTGAAATTAGTACTACCAAGTAAGCAAATCGGCAGTAGCGGAACACGCTCTTAGTGAGGCGATCACACGATACTGTTTGAAGATGTGAAACTACTTGTCCCCGATCATGGATACCACAGCCGGCTTGTACGGGAAGCCATAGAAATCCATAAACATACAGAAAACTACAACAGAAAAGAGGAGGCGGTAATCCTTAACTAGATTTGGAATCCCATACTGAAAGATGCTGAAGTGGCAACAGCGCAATGCAATGCTACGTCATTAACAGGTAATCACACTTCGGCCAATAGCAACGCATCCACAAAAGAAGCGAACTATCTGAGTCAACATAAATAAAACCAACGAACTAGAAATCACCAGTCATCGGTGAATCATCAAGATGACCAGCCACTCGTGCTGGCCAAACCTTAGGTGCAGTTTCAAACTACGACGGCCTCCAAACCCGAATGAAGATAGTGAACCTGAAAATCTCGGTGGCGAAAGCCTCAACCAATTTATCATGGTATTACATTGATTCGAACGATTCAAATAACAGAGGTGATATTTTTCTCAAAAATTTCAGATATTTCTTATATTATGTTAGGTAGAGATCTAATCAATATCACTGTCTTTCATAATTATTGTTGTAAATCATGCCTTAGAGAAAATAACGCCGGACGCCGCTGGTAGCCATGACGCAGCCAAGATATTGCGCAGCCGCGATTATTTTGGTATTTGCACCGTTTCCATGGCAGCGTTCGGAACCGTACGATAATTATCGTACACATACGATAATTTTGTGCCTACGTACGATGTACGATAGCATATTATTATCGTACGCAGATTGTACGATAATTTCTATCATGATGAAAAATTTGAGAATTTATATTATTTCACTCATGCGTTGATAGTCTAAATCGCACTAGCATGATTTTAT